GCAAGAAACATTTTAGTGACTCAGTGGGATTTGCATCCAGACCTAATGCCCTGGATAACAGTGAGTGAGTGTGCTGTGGGACCAGCCTGTGCTGATGTGAACAGAGGCTGGCGTTTACAGAAACACAAATGCATTTGGGGTAGTAGAAAGTCGCAGTGGAAGCCTTTGGCTTTATCAAATAAAGATTTGGGACTATGACATACATAAAAAGACAAAAACAGAGAAGATGTTCCAAATTCTAAGAAACATTACACTTTTTATTAAAAAAAGATCCAGATTGTTTTCATTGCAGGCACTTTAACAGGTCTTCTAAACCCAAAAGCAAAGGAAGAAAAGGGCTGAGTTTTACCGTAGGTACATGCCACTCTTCCCCATGGGAAGGAGGTTGGGATTGAGTCTCCAGGGTCCTTCCTGCAAGATCTTCATGACAGCAGGTCAGACCTCACTATCCCTCTGCTTCCAGCCCATCACTGGATGGTGACCTCTTGCACCCAGAATGGAGATGAGTTTTCAAACTGGAGAATATTACACTGTGCGTGTGTGGGATCATTCACTCTCTCCCACTGGATCTTTTCCAGAGCCAGATAATCTCCGAGAGGAAGGGCAGCAAGGCCAGCTGAACAGCCTGGTGTAAGGTGTGCAGGTAGGATGGGGAATATGGCTCTGGTTCCAATTAATACTTAATTCTTCATACAGTGAAACAGCTTCACCTAGAGAAAATGAGTAGTATGAAGCTGTGGACAAAGCACTCAGCTGGGAAGATAGTTCAAACCCTTCCTACAGAGCAAAGGTTACTTGTCTCTTGGCAGGGAGGGGAACATACTCAGCATTATTTCTGCCTTTGTAATCTTGTGAATGACATCTCAGTACTTTTGAGAGTCCAGCTCAGAAATCAGTGCAGCTGCCAGAAGAAATTCTGCAGTGAGCTGTTGCAGAATTTCCTATTCCGATGTAAGTCTCCATGTATGCATATACATGTCTGAAGATATTCACTAAGTTTGTTCCAAATGTATTAGTATTTGAAGTTGTAATTTTCAGCAAATAAATGACTTGCTAGAAGAACTTTATCCAACTTTAAAGAAAATATTGCATAAGAAAAGGTGAAGGTACACTGTTAACTGAGTTCTCAATAGCCCTGGGTTAAATAGGGTCTGTCTGCTGGTCAGTCCTGTGCTCTACTTGTCTCTGTTAACTCAGTTTCCAGTTGGCTCTTAAGACCTTAAAATGTTCATCAAAGGTCTGTTTCAGTGGTCCAAGGCCTCAGTTCTTCAAAAGATCAGATCACTCATGTAAGTCATTTTTCCTGAAAACTACTGCAGCTGGATAGCACCCTTAAATTCCCATCTGATGGAAGACCAAACACAAGCACCCTTTAACAAAACATTCTCCTTTCTTTTTTGAGGACATTTTCCAGCTTTTCTTTGTGGGATCCTGGAGCTCAGGTAGAGGAGAATGCTCCCTGGGGAGTTACCATAGCAACCTGTGATGTGTTTTTTTTTGTTGTCTGAGATTAAATACAAGCTAGGGAGAAATTACTGAGAAGACTTTTATACCTGAGTTTATCATCTTTGTGTAACATCAAAGCTGAACTGAACCTCCAACTTCCTAAAGCAGTAACAGTCACCTTGAGGCTGATGTCAGGTTGATAATATTCAGTGGAAAAGAAATTAACTGCTGTATTTATTATTCAAGAACCTTGATTAGAAAAAAAAATTCCACATCTGAAAGATGTAGCAAATGAGAGAATAAGAGCATTAGAAATGTAAAGACATGGAAATGGGAATAGCTGTTACAAATAATATCTAAACCTGGAATGCATGAATGCCCTGCATATTCTATTTTCTTCTTAATAAAGTTTAGTGATAGTCCGCTTTTAAACTTACAGTCAAAGAAAAACTCCAAACCCAATGTTGTCCTTGGAAAATAACTTCAGGTCTCATAGCTCATACAAGGAAGTGATTTTTTGGTGTATCAGGAACAAGAATAATTTGCAAAGTTGGAATAAAAACAAAATTTCTCTTCAGAGGGTGTGATGGAGAAAGAATCTGCCCAAACTGCTCTCAGTTATGAGCATCAAAGGCATATCAGGAAGTCTGAGTTCAGGAAAGGGCATGAGAGCTGAGCTAACAGAGAGGACATTGCCATGAGAAATAACCCAAAAGTGCAATGCTGGGAAAAGCCAAAGACAATCCTGAGAGTCCACTGGGGAAGGAGCACAGATGTGGGTTGTGTAAGGAGGGTGACAGGCTCTCCCAGCCCCTGTAGCAGGGGTGGGGGCTGGCTCTGGGGTGAGTTCCCCCCAGCGTTTGCATCACAATAGGTCCCCTCTGTCCCCTACCACCTCCGGTCAACCCAGCAGCAGCAAAGAGCTCAGGCTGGGCTGCTCAACAGAAACGTGGTGCAAGGGAAGACCATCGACCCTGGAAAGCAGGTGAGCACTTGCCGAGGCGTAATTTAGTGCTGCTGAATTACTCAGCGCTGCTCAATTTCATGTGGCTTCTCCCTAGCTGTCTGCCCTGCCTGCCCACCCCAGCTGCCCAACATTTCCTGGGTTTATTTAGTTCAGAGATGGAGGGGAAATGATACGGGATGGGGAAGAACTTGAAGGATCTCTCTGAAACCTGGGTTGATATCTCCCCTGCAGCGCAAAAGAGCTGACAGAGATGCTGTCAAGTTTAATTGTCCCTCAGATAATGTCCTTCAATGCTGTATATATTATATGCTTCTGTTTATCCTGAAAACATGCCACATAAACACTTTAAATATAAGTGACTTTAATAACTCTAGCTGCCTGTCCATGCTACGCAGTGGCATGTGGGTCTTGACTTATGATGCTGGATGTTTTCTGTTTCTCATCTGGATATTTAGGAGTCAGTTCCCCCTGTGGCTGATTTACCTCTCCATCTGGGGGCTGGCAGTGGAAACACGAGGACTGGGGCACCCCAAGGGAATGAGATAGGTCAGAAAGACTGCAGGAGAGAGGGTGCAAGGGAGGGAGTGATATATGGCTCTGAACACGGCATAAGTGGAAGCTGAAAACTCCAAAATTAGGGGTTTTGGGGAACAATATTATGAAAACACGAGTCTGATGTTAGATAAACCAGATGGTGATGTGGAAGACAAACCTGAAAGTCAGAAGAAGAGTATTGCAATAAAATCAAGTGTTATTGCAAACAGACCTATATTGCAGTTGTCCTCTTCTGCATTAAGGGATTTTGGATTTTGAATGTGACCACTGATTCTCTGAACTTTTGGACAAACTTGGGAAGGAGACAAAGGAAGCATCTATGGATGTTGGCTCTCAGAATTAGTCTGGAGGAGCCTGGAGAAGCAGTTCTGTGTAGTGGAGATGGCAAGGAAAGGGAAGAGTAGCAGGTTTTAGAAATGAGTGGGGGAAAACAGGACAGTGGGTGCACAAGGTGATGGTAGAGCTGGAGGGTATGAGAAGCTTGTGTGTGGTTGTCACTCCATGCCAAACACTCAGGGCAGAGACATGGAGGCAAAATTCATAAAGGTAAAGATCTCCTCACCAATGAAAAGGCAAGGGACAAGAAGGCAGCTGGGATACCTTGGTGCAGGGAGAGGTGTAGACCTAGGTGAAAATTGATAGTCAACCTCTTTTTAAAAAAAACCACAAAATTAAAAAAAAACAGAAAAGGGCACATATGTGCTGTTTGAAGCATTGCACAGAAACCCTAAGAATTCCAACAATTTAGTTATAAAAAATGGTTCGACCTTAGTTCAAATTTCTTCATCTTGAACATCACACAAATTTTATTTTCATAAAAACTGCAGAAAATAAGATTATCTTTGGTACAAACTACTTTTTTGTTTTGTTCTGTTTTGTGGGATTGTTTTGGTTTTGGTTTTTAGTTTTGGTGGGTTATTTTTTTCCATGCAAAAAGACTGAAATCCTTCATTAGACCAGGTTTGCTTATGGTGATTTAAGCAGCAACATTTGGTCAGAGGGAAGGATAGAAGTGTGTCGAGCAGATAAGTCTGAGGTTGCTGTGACTGAAATAAGAAGCATTGAAGGCACGGCCCAGCAGAATGGATTTTAAAGAGATGGGTTTTCTGAAAAAGAGGCAGACAGACAGTAGGGAAGAGATGAGCAATCACTATTACAAGGCTAGAAAGCAAGAAAAATAATGGAGCTATCAAAGGATGTAAAGAAAAGAGTGACTGGGGAGAAATGAGGAGGAAAGATGGAGACTTACCTATGGGTGGTGACAGTTTTTTTGGCCATAGTGATGGGAACTTGTCAGAAAAACATCAAAAGAGCAAAAGAGCTCTCCTGGTCCTGATGTCCCAGGTCTGTGATTTGGAGTTTTAATTATTTGCGCGTATTGTAACATTTGGTGCTCTCCCTGCTCTGTGGATTTTAAGATCAAAAAGCACAACAGCCACTGCATTTTTGTGGCATCCTGTTAACAGAAGCTACTGAGCATCAACAAGAAAAAGCTGCTCTTGAGGTCAGTTTTTCACTGTGATCCTTTAAAAATGTTTTCTTTTGAAAAGCTGATTTCAGCCTAGCAACGATTTTTAATTCATTTGTGTGTCACTCAGTTGGGTATGGGCTATTCTGAGGTGCAAGATACTCTTACATCTTATCCCCTTGCATGTCTATAAAAATGAGGTAGAGAAATAAAACGAGAGTCTGAGTTTTTCTAGAAAAGCTTGTGATGCTGCCATAGAGCTGCTTTATCTACTGATGCCAATTTTCTCAGCTTCTATAAACTATGTTTCTGGTGTATTCCTTACCTTCCAGAGTCAAAGGGGCAACACGGTTCACTGTGGGAACTGACTTGTTTGCTTGTTCCTGTCTTCCTATGGACTTCAATTTTGACCCTGAATTTGGACAGTAATTGTCTGCATTTGTGTTTCCTGTTCTTTCCACTCTGATCAAGCTCCTCCAGCCCTGCTGTGTCACCTACTCCTTGCCAGTGGACCTCTTGTCAAAGTTCTGGACACAATCCTCCTCAATCTGCTAAAGAAAGGCCATGTCTGCTTTTGATCTGATGAACCAGAGCACGCAGGTTACAGAGCTTGAGATAGACTGTATCGCTCCCTGGATGAAACTGAGGGATGAACATTTTGTCTTTGCTGATGGTAAAAGGATGAACGAGATCTACTGCCAGTCACCCTCTGCTTCCCACCGGAAAATCTTTACCAAGAAGGTACAGAATGAGTGGAGCATCTGGGAGGAGAACAGAGCTCTCTGGGAGGAAAACCAAGTCCTTCAGACTGAGAACAAGATGCTCCGGGAAGAAAACAAGGCTCTACAATGCCTCCAGTCACAGAACAGAGCTATCCAGGTTATTTACCCTGATGCCATTCAGCAAAACCTGAATTTCCAGAAGGAAAATAAGCTGTTCCCATTTTTCCGAGAGAGAAACATAGGCCTTCAGGTTAGCCCAGGCAACAAAGATCATCATGTGGTCCGGGAAAAGAAAATAATCTTAGAGGATTCTGAGCAGAGGGATAAAACAGTCCCCATCATCTCTGAAGATGAACAAGACATCACAGTCCATGAAGAGAGCAAAGATTCCAGCTCAGATCTTCAGGAAGACACTGATGCCATCACAGCTGTGGAAGAAGGTAACCCTGGCCCAGCCCCTCAGGAGGAACATGAAGCTAAAGACAGGAGCACCACTTCAACCCAGAATAAGATCAGGTTTGCCCCAAGCATGCAGAACGAGTATGAAATCCTCCAGGCTCTCCAGTATTTCTATAAACTCCTCCACATCTTCCTGAAAGTGAACTATCTCCTTGGGGAGAAACAGGGCTGTCAGATTCTCTATGATGTGAACAGACCCTTGCAAGAAGATTATGATAAACTGAAGCTGCAGCTGAATGCTGTGAAGAACACAGTGTCAGACATTGTAGCTCAAATGGAAATGTTGGAAAATGAGCTCATTGCCATCACTTCCACCTTGTAAGAAGAAGCAGGACAGAAGCTGGCAACTGAGCATCAGCTTGGAGAGATGTGAAGCTTGGTGTCAAGACCTCCAAGTTCACTTTCCTGGAAAACTTTCCTTGTTTCAGGGAACCTAATAAAGTCCCAGTAAAGCCTGAAGGCACCTGTGGAACATGGTGTTATTCTGACACTTTCTTATATTACTTAGAGGTATTTCTTCTGATTACACTGTGGGTGACTGTCATGAATTTGCTAGTGTCAGGAAAACAGCTTTCAGCATTCTTTTTCAAAGTTTCTGATAAGAAGACCTACATCACGCTTTTCACACTTAATTTGAGGTACCTTATGTTGGCTATGCTTTTCTGAGGGATGGGCATTTCCTAAAAATTAGGATACCAACTGTGAGCTGAATTTGAATCCCTAGTGGTCCCTTTCTTTCTGGCTAAGTTCAATGGCTGAACTGTATCTTTTGCCATGTACCAGCCTTCCCTCTCTCATATAGGGTAAGCAGTGGATCGTGGAAAATGCAGCCTCCTAGAGAGGGCAGGTCCATGAAAGGCAATGGGACACAAAAAACCACACTACCTGTGTCATGAGACATTGTATGCTAGTGCAAGCATAAAAAAGTGTTTCCATTTAAGGAAAACCAGTGCAACTACATGGCAGGAGTTTTCTATAAAAACTTCCCATGATTTTCTCAAGTATTATCTCTTCTGTAGAAACCAGTTAAGACAGATTTGCTTTCTGCACTTCTTGTAAATAGATAGATGAAGAGCTAGAGAAGGAGAGAGATGGATGATAGGTACTCTTCTCCACTAAAATTTACCGCCTACCACATTCTTTCTGTTTCTTTTTCCCAGCCACGCATTCCCACTTAAATGGTTGTCTCTTTC